CTGGCCCGTCTGACAAGGTATGATATTTTGCTTTCCCCTTCGTCTAATGATGACCAAAAATTACACTGCTTTTTTTCGACAATGTAGGTGACCTGTGAAGAGATCAATAGTGGCATCAAAGCTATCCAAGATTCAGTGCTGACCCTTTCCAGTCGCTTGTCCACTGCAGAAAAGCAGATTGAATTCTTGCACAGTGACCAGAAGGGGACCAGAGGGCGAGTGCATACACTGGAAACAGACAAAGGGACAGACAGTCAGGCGCAAACACAGCAGCTCTTACAAGATGCTGCCGCCAAAGCTTTAAAGGGCCTTCGAAAGGCGTCCAAGGCCACTGTGAGTGAAGAGTAGAAAGGCCATCTCGACTAATGCTGTGGCCTGGATTCACTGACTTCACCCCACCCCACCCTTGTCGTCTCTTGTTTAGAGTGCAAAAGATGGGTCTTCTGCTACTTCAGACAAAAGTGTGAGTGCTCATGTATGTTTCTCTCCCCCATCATAAATCACTCTCTAACAAAACAGTTGTACATTACACAGGAGAGAGAAGAAACAGGCAGAAAAGGAAAAGCTCAGACAAAAGTGTGAGTGCTTATGTATGTTGCTCTCCCCCCATCATGAATCACTCTCTAACAAAACAGTTGTACATTACACAGGAGAAGGAGAAGAAGAAACAGACAGAAAAGGCAAATGCAAAAACAAAAGACAAGAATGTGAGTCTTCTTTTCCTTTCCTCATTACCCGAAAGTAATTTTACCCTTTTTGTTTTGTGCCTAACATACATCGCCTTCTCTCTCTGCTTTTCTATTCCAAAAAAGGCTCAGTTCAGATAACCCGAGCAAAAAATAGCTACAAGAAATAAAGGTAAGTCAAAAATGGATACTGTTCCAGCATGATAAAATGAGTTGTAGCTAAGACATCTTTTATGTGTTGTGCTATGCTTTCACCTCTCAGAAAAACGAAGAAACCCAGGTGAGGTAATGACACAGACAGCAGAGAAAAAAGCAGGAGTCTACTCTCGTCCCCTCACTTATTTTCTTTGCTACAGGTTCATTCCAGGCGCAGCAGGAGTCGATGGAGGAGGAATTGTCGGTTGGCTCAGATGTAGAGATTGAGACGAGTTTGGTTTGAAAGAGCAGTTTGTTAGCTTGGGTACTACGGACATGATGATGATCACGTCGGCATGAATCCCTCAGTGAGCTTACCACAGCACGTCAGCACTACAGAGGACCTCACCTTTAAACTCCCTTGATTACATTCAAGAAACTCAGTGAGTCAGCAAGCGTCCCAACAAGAAAGCAAAGATTGCGTGGTAGGAGATGTGCAAGTATGATCAGGGAGGGGAGCATCGATGTAAATAAATCTCTCCTAGGTTGGAAAAGAACCATTTCAAGGAGGGTGATGCGCTAATGAAGAGATTTGGAACTTTGCGTGTTCCCAGTTGACTGACCTTTTTGATGACACACAAAATGTGGCGACCTTGAAGCCGGAGGCAAGCGACATTTCGAAAAAATGGCCGTCCTTGGATTCAAAGCACGTTCGAGCTCTTCCAGGTCATTGATCCCCCCCCCCCCCCTTCAAAAACCTTCTTTTATTTGTGAACATGAAGCCCCTCTGTTTTTCCCATCCCCCCGGCCATCTCCATTCTACCCCAAAAAGCCCTAGAAAACCAGTATTTACCCCACTATTGACCCTTAAATATACCCAACCTACAATTCTTTCCACAAATAGTAAAAATTCCCTTATTTGTGAACATGATTTGGTCATGTAGCCCCTCTGTTTTCCCATCCCCCCGCCATCTCCATTCTACCCAAAAGCCCTAGAAAACTAGGTATTTACCCCACTATTGACCCTTAAATATTACCCAACCTACGATTTTTTCCACAAATAGTAGTAAAATTCCCGTAGAATCCTCTATTTTATCCCCCAACCCCCTAAACTGCTCTTTTTTTGCAACGGTTTTATAGATGTGTGAATGAAAGCACGACTCTCTTGGGCAGTTCTTTCATTCCCAGTTCCTTGTGGGAGTTGAACCTGACAGGATGTTCTTCGAAGTCAACAGGGTCCACGTCATCACTGTGACTCGTGCTTTTGAAATATGCTGGTGTTGGTGGGACTGAGGCGATCTTAATCGTTCGATTTGATTTAGAGTGTGGGTTAATGTATTCCTCGACATCATAATGGGGTCTCGTTTTAGAGTCTGGTTAATGAGACAGTTAATGGGGTTCTCGTTTTGCAGGAGAGATGTTAGGGCTTAGGTCCAAAGTGTGCCGTGGCATTAAATGTCAATGATGTCATCGCAGCCTTGAGATTTCAAAAAGAGACTGGCTATTTATTGCTGCTAGTTTCGTCACGCCTGCCTGGTATCCATCTCTAAGTAATGTCAAGCTGCAAAGATAATTGCTCCAGAAAATCCTTCTGCCAAACAATGAATCGACCTGCGAGCCATTCTGTGCAGTTTTCAGGTGCTTTTGGCAGAAAAAAAAGTCATCTGCCAGAGAAAAACACCCTCCCGGCAGAAAAAAAACACCTCCCGGCAGAAAAAGCCATGCCGGCTTTCGGAACTGCAGAGTTCGAGGGCTTCTGCAGAGTGCACGCCAGCCTGCTTCAGGAAAAAAAGTGTTTCTGCGGACTCAAAAAGGGCGTTTCTGCAGAGTTTTTCATTCCCAGTGATCCTATGGCAAGGCAACCCCATCAGCACTGTCAAGACCTTCGGGACACGACACTGCAGCCTATGCAACAGGGAGCGACTCGAGATACTGAAACGATCCAGAGAATCGCCAGAAAACCTGATCAACTCCTGCAACGAAATATACGGAGCATGCCGACATAAGCCTCGATTTCATAAGTACCACAATAGCCCAAGCACTGATGATTCCCAAGGGGGATGAAAAAGTCAAACAACTGAAAAGTTACCACAGAGTCAAGCCTGTGTTTTGGCGATTCCGCAGTTTGTGCTGATCAAGAGTAAAACTACTTAATTCAGTCACTTTTTGCTAAAATCCTAGGTCAAAACCCAGTCTAGCGATTTCTACACAAACAGAATCACCAGCAAGATGACAAACTGAGGCATGTCGACCCAAAGAAAAACAAAGCATATTCAAATTAAAAAACCAATCAGCTTGGCACAAGTAGGAACCAAACACAGTCGGGGGCGTGGTACACATGCAAATAAGACACGCTCGCATGCATGACAGATGGAATCAACACGATCCATTTCAACGAAACCCCAGCTACCTTGCGTCGTTACTTCACATACAACCAAACAGAAACTCCTTCTACCGTGGGAGAAGCACGCTGCATTGAACATCTCTCCTCGCCACTGTATTAGTTGTCACAAACGCAGAGTCCAATAAAGTCATGTCCACTTTATAGCCACAATAAGGGAACTGACCAAGCAGCACCCAGGAGACTGGTCATGGATCCTAATTCGTCCCAGGAAAACATGGGTAAGTACAATCAAGGACATTAGCAACTAAACCAAAAATGAACATACCATGCACAGCTAACTAAACTCCACCTGTTGCTTGTCTACTTGCATTCGTCAGACAATGCCAGCAAGCGTCGTTCTCCAAGCATTGGTGAAGATGCAGACTCTACCAAGAGAAGCAAGGTTGGTTCACCCACCAATGACATTGACAAGATGGAAGCGGAAGCCTCTCTAAACAAAATTGCTCAGGAAAGTGGGCCCCCCAATATCAAAGATAAGGATTCCAATGACAAACCATCATCCAACACCGTTATCACTGGAGGCAAGGGCGTTGGCGAAGCAGGTTCCATGCTGTCAGACCTTTCCGATTTAGAGTCAGTTGCTAGCTGGCCCGAGTGGAAGGACGGTGATGCTGATTTGTAGTACTTGGAACTACTTTCTGATACAGATTCAGCCAAGCAAGCGAGAAAAGAAGCAAATAGTCACAAGCCAGAGGGCTGGGGGAAGTCTGCTAGAGTTTTTGCTGATGTTGAGAAGACCTTTTCAAATCCCCAGAAAGCAAACATGATCGATAGCGACAATAGCATGGGGTCCAAGGGCATCAGAATGCCGAAAAGAACCAAAGTGGTAGAAAAACAATTCATCCACCATGAGCTCCTAGACCACCACAATGCTCATGCTCGGCCAAGTATGTCTCCCTGGCATTCCCCAATTCGTAACCTTCGAAGCATCTCCAACCCCATCACCACCCAAACCAGAGAAACCAAAGGGACATTTCAATATCTCATACACCAAGCCTAAGATTTTCGATGAAAATGATACAGTTCCCGAGGGCTGCGATGCCGAAGCAGTGCCTTGCAGATGGAACTTGCTGACCAGAGATTTGACTGATAATGGTATCACAAAGAAGGAACAGAAGAGGCAATCCAGAGCCAACAGCTCTCCAGATCTGCCAGAGGAGAAAAAGATCGAGGCTGAGCAAAACAAAAAGAAGATGGATCAGGACGAAGCCAGACAATTGAAGCTCATTGAGGAAGCCAAGAAAGCAACGATTGGCTACAGAATGCATTGTGGAGTCGGTAAGAAAGTCTTCGGACCAATGGAGGGAGCGTCAGGAGTTGCCACAACAGATAGCGGTTACAAGGCTTTGCGGAATAGACACACTTTGATTCCAAAGCTATTCTTGGATGTTGTTAAGAGTCCAAGCACGAAGAAGAAAAACATCTTGCCCGAAGGCCCGGTCGTGTGTTTCTTTCACCCGTCACAGACAAAGAGAAGCACAATCCACCTCTAGTGCAAAATCTCAGTTTGATAAGAGCCGACTTTGAAAAGATGCGGACGAAAGGTGGGCAGCATTACCCCGGGACAGCTCGAAAGATCAGAGATGCTCGATCCATGACAACAAAACCTCCAGCTGGACATGCTAGACCTGGGATGGACCAGATCCACCACTTCGATGGCTACAGAGATGCAGTACCAGAATGCAACAGAAAATCCAAAAAATTGGGCGAGTACTTCCTGTATGTAGAGTGCCGCAACAGTGGCGCTTGCTATTGCCGGCAATGTTTTCTGGTCATTGCCAACGGTATGCACGACGGTTTATATGCTCGGAAACCTGGTATTGAACCTGTGCCATATGCTCTGTCCTACAGAGCTTGGAAGGGACTCTACAGAAATGCGATACCACACGGGAGAAACTCAAGCACATTCAATTCTCCCGACACCACAAAAATCCACGAGACAATATGGATCATTGGTGCACCGAGGATCAAAGGTATCCACATTGAAGCTGCCCAAGCTATGACAAGCAGTTCTGCATCATGATGACGGATGTTTTCTGTGGATCCTTCAACAAGAGCTTTGCCGGGAGATTCTACATCATTGGCTACCCAATGCAGGGCACATTGTCTAGCCAGAGTTTCGGTTTCATGCCCGGGTTGGAGCCCATCTGCAACAACACCCTCTGCTTCAAGGTATCGAAGAGTCCACACCACAAAAGCTTGAAAAGACGTGGCAATCGCATGCTCAATACCTGCATCATCTCGAAGCACCACAACTCGAACTCTCTCTTTGATAATGGGAGACCTGGGAACATCCACTCAGTTGCAACCTACAACTGGGTGCACGTCCGGCGGACGGTTATTCACAACTATATCTGGGAGATGATTATTCGGAAGATGGCACACTTGAAGACCCCTACCCAACTTGGAAGGTCTTCGACCCTGCCATACCAAACATTTCAGGACGTGTACAGTGACTGGGTTGTTGGTGATTTGGTGAAGGAGACAAGATCCTTCCCTCTTACAGAGAATACACTCTATGCCAATGTGAAGCCCATCTTGAAGCTGTTGGGAATCCGTCCTTCTCATCATGGTTGGGAATCAAGCAAGTCTTCATCCACCATGATTGTCTCGTGGCGTCTGATCTACTTAGAGTCAACAGGAGGCAAAAAGTCAACAGGAGGCGTGGTGCTGCGATGCAATGGGGGAAAAGCTGCCATGATCAACACCACACTAGACACAGATGATAGGGGTGAGGTGCAGCAGGCAGGAAAGCAGTACTTGTCTAACAAGCCCCCGAAGTGGCTGACTCATTGCATGGACTTGCATGTTGTCCAGGTGCCCGAAGAACCATTGAAGGTGCTTTTGAAAATTGCCAAAAAGCAAATCTTGTCCGTCCCCCATGACTACAACAAAGAGACGAGCAGATTCTGTGGAGAGACAGCCCGGCCATACAGTCCAGCCTTGCGTTCATTGCGGGTGGTGCGAGCATTCCAAGAGGGGACAGAGCCAAATGGCTACGGCCTATGCAGACTGTTCGATTACAATAAGCTTGGCCAGGGAGACCAAGAGTCTGTCTTGAAGGCACGTACTTGGTGTGTGGAAACAGCCCTCCAGAAAGCTTTTGGGGAGTGTGCAAGTCTTGAGGATTACCATGTGTTCGATCAAGCTGACTGCCGCCACAGTACCTTTGACACAGATTTGAAGGAAGTCAGCGCCAGTCACCTTGAGCTTCAGCCATCATACCTTTGAAAGATCTAGGATCTTGGTGGGAGGGCAGTGTTTGCGGAGATCCCACTTGACTGATATGGTAAATTTGGCAGGTACCACATTGGTCCAAACAATCAGACAGGTCAGCTCACCTACACCAAGAGTGGAAGCGCCCTAGTTGGACCAATGTCACTTTCTCGGGAGGTTGGATACATCACCCATGTTCAGGCTAACCGGCACATCCGTGTTATGGTGATTTTGTTCCCTCGAGATGTCTCAAAGTTTGAGCCCTTGAAATTGAAGGCGAATATGGTGCGTGTGTAACCTCACATCCAGTATCGCAAGTCCTTTTCGAAGGAACATTATTGTGAAGGCATTGCTCTCGGCGCAGACATAGAAAAGCATCTACGTCTCATTGACATCCTTGATTACCACATTAAGGTTCGCAATGTTGAATCTGACGATGATATCACTGATGACGGGAATAGCGACGACGAGAAGGACTATTCTACAACAATAGAGGAGCCCGAAAGCAAAAAGAAGATTTCGGAGGAATTCAAAGGACTGAAAAATTGGGGGGACATGTCTCCACTCAACAAATTTTACAACGAGGACTTCAAGAATGTGAACAAATGCTTTGCATGATTGCGTTGCGTGTGTTCTTGTTTCTCCGCAAAAAAAAAAACTGCAGGCTTTGTTCTCATTCGCTTAGAAACACTTATCATAATCCAAAGATATTAACAAAAAAAACTCTCAGAAACCTACACAAAGTTCATCGTAAACTCCATTTCATTGTCACCAGATGAGCAGGACAACAGACTTTCTACTTTGTTGCCTTCCTTAGCCTCCAGTTTATTATTGACACTTCCAATAGAGACCCTGTTTGCTTTTGTGGCAGGAGGAGCAGTTTGTTTTCTGACCACCTTTACCGTCTCAGATTGTTTAGGGAATACAGGACGGTACAGCTCTTCGTCGCCCTCCTCATTGGAGGAGTCCAAGACAATTTCATATACTTGGTCCTCTCTCTGCATTCTCCCTCCTCTCTCATCTGATTCTGACTCATGGTCGCTGCTATCGTCACTGCTATCATCCTTGCACGACAGTTTCATATTACCATTCAAGTCGACTTTCAACTCGTCCAAGTCCCCATCAACCGTTTCATCTTCATCGCTTGATTCCATGTTAGCTTCATCGTCAAGCATCTGCTTCCCATACACATCTACTTTCAGTTCCGAGGTAGAAACAATGCAAACTGGGATGGGATCCTTGATGCGATACCTTTTCATGAAAAGCCTGCAGTGTTCCTTCTGAAGCATCTTTTCCACAGCCTTCTTTGTGAAATTGATAGTTCTCTTGTCAGCTATCAAGTGCTTGTGGCAGCTATCACGAATCTTCTGGTCCCAAGCAGTGGCAAGGCATGGTTTGAGGTGACAGATGTCACAGTGGCGAGCTATGATGCCATCTTCCTCGTCCTCCTTGCTCTGTCCATAGCCCGACGGCCTGTACACTATCTTGCCCTCGCTAGGCTCGTACTCAGATGACTCTCTTGGGTATCCTTCTACCGTGAAGTTCAGCCTTGATTGTTTGCTGTCCACTGCTCCACTGCTAGACTCCTTCCTCTTCCCTTGTCTGTGCTTGGCAGTCCTTGATCTTTGACCACCTGCTGCAGTCCTCTTCTCACCAGTCTTCTTCCCTTAACAGGTTCCTTTCTTGTCATTGGTCTTCTTGCTTCTCTTCTTCCTATTTGCAACCAAACCACTATCAAAAACATGGCCCATCTTCTCCATGAAGAGGATTCGACTCGCTGACAGTGTTTCTGGAGGTGAAATTGGAGCGTGGTCTTTTAGGTTTCTGGTGGCCCACCTATCACCTGGAGCCCTCGACTTGTTGAGCTTGAACTCGAAACAAAGATTGCAGGTATCTTCTTCTAGACACAGAGGGCACCCACTATACAAGATCCTGTGCAATACACGGCTCTTAGCCTTATTCGCGACTTGATCCTAGATAGGGTTTGAGTTCGACTCATGACTGAGTCTCTCGTGAATAGTCATTTGAGACAGGGTTCTCAATGACCGCGCTAGTCATACTAGGTTGATGATGAAACATCGCTCTAGATATTTAGCCAGCGTGGAGTACTTCCACGCTACTAGATCCATGCTAGACAAACCTTCCACGCGTTCTGTTTTAGGATCGTGGAGAGACGTAGGATTACTACCGCAACCTACTCTATCACACTTTATAGTCTCCCGCGGGAAGCCAGATCTACGATCCCTTGATGATGATAACTCTCTCGTTGATTAGTTTTCATAGCTTTCTAATCTCTCTCATACACTTTCATTTTCCTCAAACTCAAAACACTCGAAAGATTCTTTACACTAGCTTTAGCGTAGTGCATTTTGTTAACAAACCAAATAGCTTTCAGCTACCCTCAACCATATTCCTTTCACCATGAAGTTGGCTCAAGAAAGCATGCGTCCGCAACTTCGAGAAACAGTTGCGTGACAAACCATTCTCCTCTCTCGACAATGACGAAGAAACAAGATCGACGATACTCGTGCAACCACTGCAACTTCGCAACCACGTTGCCAAGCGCAAACAGAAGACTCTGACAATGAGGACAACTCCTCTATCAATTTCAATCACTTGGATGGAGAAATCTCTAACTGAGGACTAGGCCAGGATGATGACTCAATGGAACCAGTTTCCGATTTCTCTACCAAAGTGATGAAGATATCTCACTAACTAGTAAACAAGAATTGTTAGTCGAGTGCAAACGATGAACACTACGGCAAATAGATGATTGCTAGAAGCTCTCAACTAGACTCTGATACTATTAGCATCGTTAACCTCGTCCGTGGCCAACCACCTCGTAAACGTCGCAAGACAAGAGACCTCAAACCCATCGTCTATGTTAGATTAACAAGCGAGAAAAAGGGAAACCAAAACCCTACACTCCGTTGCTTACTGGATACAGGGCATCCGGAACTTATTGCTCAACTCATGCTAAGATTCCATGAAGAATCTGGGGGCGTCCAAACATTAGTGCTCTACCTGAAGGAATTTAACCCGCACAAGTGCAAGGTGCAATGTATTCCTGATTCCACAATAGAATTATCGATGGGTTTACACGTCACCAAGAGCTTGGGCGTATGACATGATCATAGTGTCGAGACATTCTCTCTGACTAGGATTCAAGTTCGATTTCACTACCATGTCATGGAATGGGACGGCGCATCTATTCCTATGAAAGACAGCGACACCAATGAAGAAGAGAACTTCTTCATTCCTGATCCTACTGCTTGGAGAACAGTGCGATGTCTCAAGAAGATTTTTGATGCGAAATAGAACAAGCTGACTTAAGGCAGGTTTGGCAAAGTCAAGATCAGTTAAACACGGAAGAGAAGGAACAGCTTCATTCCTTACTGACGAAGTACTCTGACCTATTCGATGGTACTTTAGGAAAGTGGCAGATGGACGACTACGAAGTAGAACTTCTCCCTGATGCTAAACCCTACATGCCAGGGCTTACCCTATCCACGGGTCCATACCAACACTCTTAAAAGGAGTTGAACGTCTCGTGAGGCAGAGTACTCAAGAAGTAAACGTTCCGAGTGGGCGCACCAATTCATCATTCCCAAGAAAGATGATCTGTACGATTCATCTCTGTATTTCCGGGAACTGAACAAAAGGATTAAGCGAAAGCTTATCCTATCCAAAATACAGGACATGTCTTGAATCTAGATGGATTCAAATACGCTACTAGTCTAGACCTGAACATGGGATACTATCACATCGAGCTGTCACCTCACTCGAAGCAACTCTGTACCATCGTACTCCCGTGGGGAAAGTACGAGTACCAGAGGTTGCCAATGGGCCTATGTAATAGTCCGCATCTTCCAAGAGAAGATGGGAACACTAATGCACGACCTAGAATATCCGTGCATACATATGATCTACTCATCCTAAAGGCGATCTAGCAGATACGTTGAAAAGTTGGATGAAGTTCTCCGAAGGCTTCGAGAAGCCGGACTTAAGATCAATGCTACCAAGTCCTTCCGCAAGGAGAACTTGAATACCTAGGTTACTGGATTACTCGAGAAGGATCCAACCTATAACCAAGAAAAAAACGCGATCCAGAATTCGATCCCCTACCAACAGAAAAGAACTCCGTAGATTCATTGGACGGGTGAACTACTATCGAGACATATATGGAACGCAAAACAAATAAAGCCATGTCGATGATAAAAATGGGAAGCGGAACACGACAAGGCCTTTAGCCAGATGAAGAAGATCATCAGCAAAGAAACTTTGCTCGCCTACCCTGACTTCAACGATACATTCGTTATCAACACGGATGCGAGTGATACTCAACTAGGTGCAGTAATTCCCCAGAAGGGAAAACATACGCGTTCTACAGCAGAAACTCAACCCTGCTCAAACACGTTCACAGTTACCGAGAAGGAACTTCTCAGTATCGTAGAAACTCTAAAAGAGTTCCGTAAATTCTTCTAGGACAGAAGATTGTCGTACATACGGACCACAAGAATCTTACATGTAAGAACTAAATACCGATCGCGTAATGGATGGCGCCTTATTCTGAAGAATAAAGGCCCTGAACTACGGTACAATCAAGGGCGAACACAATCGTCGCGAATGCGTTGTCGAGACTTAACATTCCAACGACCGGTTCTTAAGAACAGATGGAACGCAGCGAGATTGCTGAACTCATGGCCTGCAGACGAAGAGGACTTCCCTAGAGAGTTCCCTCTCATGTTCCCCGAGATCGAACATCGTCAGAAAGAACGACAACGAATCAAGAAGATCCTCAGGGACAAGCAAACCACTACAAAAGCAATCTTTCCCAGAGGGATAAGTCTACGAATTAGTAGTTAAGGACGATAAAATCGTCGTACCTAAAAACTATGCAGAAGAAGCAGTTGAATGGTATCATGGTGTGCTGATGCATCTGGCGAGACTCGCACAGAACTAACCATCAGCCAACACTACACCTGGAAAGGGCGCAAGATGTGCAGGCCGTATGTCAGCGTTGCCAAAGCTGCCAATGAACAAACCCAAGACGCGTAGCTGGGATTGATGCCTCAAGACCTTGCGAGGAGATCCTTGGGAAAGACTATGATTTGACTGATAGGCCTTACACGTGGGGATCAAGAAAAGAATTCCTGCACACTTCATTGCCTACAATGATTTGATCCGAACCGGATTGTTCGAGATTGCAGAGATCTCCAAAGCAGCAGACGAAGAAATCGTCCTAAACAAACGTGCTTATCTCGGTATCCATGGCTGCTGAGGTTTCATGGATATAGGACGTGAGTTCCGCGCAGAGGTCGAAGACACTCCGAGATGAATTGGACTTCGTCGCAATTCATCACACGCAGTAACCCTCAAGCCAACTCTATGTCGAGCGTGCTCATCAAACCATACGTAACTTGATCGCTGTTCAAACATCAAGTGCCAGACGACCTGTGAATGATCCTGGGATGGAGTCTCACGGCGGTTCGCTTCCAATGAATGCCACGATTCATACCACCTTGCCGCAACGCCCGACAGCTGTGTTCAATCGTGACGCGATTCACAACGTCGGTTCGAAGCACTGGAAGTAATTAAGGAAGTCGCACGACTAATCC